CCAAAGTATAAAACTGAAAATATTAATGGTAAACTCCAGATGCAACTGGTGTGATGTAGGTATGTGTGTGTGTTTAATTTGATGTGTTAATTAAACTAGAGATTCTAAACTTTCAGCCGCATTTCCATCGGGTAAAGCTGAGCCATTACTGTCCATAGATGCTGAAGGGTTTTCCTCTTGCCTTGTGCTGACAAGGCTGAGAATAGCTTTGTACAGAAACTGGTACTGTTCCTGGAGAAGGAAAGAGGATACAGTCAGTGTGTTGTCAGAAATAATAACACTAGTTTATTATCTTGTAAAGCTATTACTCAAAATTAATTAACAGCTGACGTGTCAGTCTGTTAATGTACTGTGCTCCACAATTTATTGTGTTACTTCGCGGCTTCATTAATTTTCTGACTAATGGCTCCCCCTGTACACAATGTAAAGCACAACATTAAGGAACACTCTACAGGTAGGGAAGAAAACTATATTTTTTGCCAAATCTGATCCTTGTTAAAGTCACTTGCAAGGTTCCCATTGATTGAATGGGATCAGCATTAGGGCTACTATTTGTCTGTTGGCTTTTTTTTTCCCCCTTGAATATGTTCTCATTTTTTTCCCCTCTGAATTCTATCCAGAAGATTTTTTTTTTTGAGTACTTGCAGTTACTGTTTGTTTTTGAAGACCCTGCCGAGTGTAGGAAGAGAGACAAGACTTTGTGGGAAGATTCACTGAGGAGACCACCACCTAGAGGGAGCGGGGGGTCTCAGTTGGGTGCAGTGGGAAATGGGGAATGCCAGAAGCCAGCTGGACTCAGTGTGGGCTGGGAAGGGGAAAACAGCTGGATGCTTTGTGGAGGGCAGCATCTTGGGAGCGCAGGCACAGCGAAGGCTGTCCTGCACCAGGTAACAGTGGATGCTCTGCAAGGGCAGAGGAATATTTTGGGTTCTAGGATGGATGTATGATGATAAAGAATTTCTGTGATGGAAGGAGTGGGGAGCAGTAAGACAGACTAAATACAGTGGGGTTTGGGGTCTGGACTACTAGGTTGCACTGAGACACATGGAGTAGAAAGAGCAATGAATTTGAAAATCTTCAGTAGGAGGATTGGAAATATGAGATAAAGGGCCCAGGGTC